TAATATTATATAAATTATTATATTTTTAATTAAGAAATTTTTTTTTAAATCTTACTTTTTTTTTTATTTGATTTAAAAATTAAATCTATCTTTATTTCTGAATTTTATAAAGGAAATTATAAATTTAAAAATTCTATTAATTTTCTTTTATATTATATCAAAAAATCAACAAATAGAAATGTTTTTATTGAAGTATAAAATGAAATAAATATATAATTTTAAAAAGATGAAAAATGAAAGACAAATTTTTTACAAAATAAATTTTGTGACTGATGAGTTCAATCATAAGGGGATACAAGTTAACATTCCATTGAATTCAACGTTACGGATCCGTATGACTCGAAATCTAGCAAAATAAATTCATGTCACAGAACCACAATATGTTTTTAGAATCATTTTGCATTTGTTGTATAGGTTGCCTGATAGAGTTACTGTGGATCATGTGACCAAGGCAGTATTATAGTTTTTAATATAATGTAGTAAGTGAGCGAGTAGTAGTTAGTAGTTGCATCTCTTTATTTGTCTTTAATTCTGGTTGATCACATAGAAATTTATCTCTAGACTTAATCAATAAAATTCATAAAATTATCCTTCATGTTCCACTAGGGTTTAATTGTATATTGAATCGTCGGGCTAAATTAAGTTCGATCCGAACGGACGATACGTTACATTATTATCGTGTCTACTAATAAGATTTTGATGGTCATCTATTTTTAAAGGAAATTGGCGCGGAAATGTGCAAGTTTTCGACTAAATTAGTCAAAACACAATTATCTATTATATTTTTGGAAATCGTTACACCCACCCATTTTCTTTGTTCTTATTATAATGAAGTCATTGAGTTGGGACAATGAAAAAATATATAATTTTATTTTTATTGTTATTTTTTTTTTTTTTTTGCAAGAAAAAAAGTCGTTATACAATATGACATGCAATAACCTGCCCGCCCGCTATTGTTACAACCGATGAAAATTTTTACAAGAAAATAAATTTCGGAGTTGAATGATCGACAACTTGCTTTTATTTAAAAGCGTTAAATTTCAAACGTGTGATGTTGAAATTGGTTTGGAATTGCACGTTAGAGTTTCTAAACATTATTAAAGCGATGTAGATCATTGCTTTTTAAAAACCTTTAACCTCCGTTTTGGAATATCTAATTATGAGTCAATTTTGTACGTCCAACAAGATTTTATTCATCATTGAATTCGGAGTTAATTTAATTAATTGCTCTCGACTTTTCAGACAGTCAATCAAATCCACGTGATAAATAAATTATTGATATGTAATAACATGGTATTTATTCAGAATATGGTATATATATGTGAGATCGGCATGCATAGACTTGATTATCGAAATGATAAATTACCGAAAGAAGTAAAAAAAAAAAGTGAAAGAAACTTTGTGGCGATTATATATACAAACAAATAATGTCAAAATCTTTCATCTATTTACTAAAAATGTATTAATTTTTTTTATCAGCGGACTTCCGACATACTATCAGTCGTATGACTTCTCCCAGGTCTTTGTATTTTACTTTCCGAGCTATGAAAGGTATTATTATACCATCCTCCCTCTTCTTCAGATCGTTTCTTTATACGATAACAACTCCAACAACCACATAAGATCAATATTAAAATTATAATTCCTACAATTGAGAAAGTAAGAATACAATAATTTGCACAACCTTTATTTTGACCATCATTTACGTAGTACCAAAAAACCCAATTACTTCTTGAACGAGCTGGAGCAGAATATACTATTTGTATCGGATTTAAAAGTAAAGCGCCTACGAGGAATTTCCGTATTTTAGAATTTACATTTGAGAAAGTCATCGTTAATTATTGAATCTAATAAATTATGTCGAATTAGTAAATATTACCATGTTGAAATTTATTGCATTTAAAAGAACTTACATTGAAAAACGATGAAAAAATTTTGAGCGAAATTTTAGTAAATGGAAAAGAACTAAAAAAAAAAAAAAAAAAAAAAAAAAGAAAAAAAAAAGAGAAAAAAAAATTCCGTGAGATTTCTGAGGTTTATTTATATAAACAATTTCACAATCAGTAGAAGATCGACATATACGTGTCACCAAGAAGGATGAAGGATAAAAACAAGGTCCGTTGTGTATTCCTGCAGCTCGGCTTGTTTTCTATAACTTTATAGGTATTTTATTTAGTTGTATCATATGTAAGTCATAAGAAGTTTAATTTGATTTGTTGCTGAATGGTATAGAAATAATTTTTTTACGTTCTAAATAATTAAGGTTACGCCGCGGTAAGGTTGTAATCAGGCCGGCGCTATTGATGAGACCGAGACGTCATTTCATTAATTTAGTTTGATCGCCGAACCTCGTGTATGATATCCCATTATCAATTAATAAATGAATGTATATACGGTAGGTAACCTAAAAAAGGAGTCTTTTTATTATGAGCAATTAAGGGGCTAAATTTACCAACCAAAATAAATCTAAAAACAATTTATATATACCTTTAATTATTGTTTGTAAAGAAAATTTTTTTTTAGTTCGTGTATTTTATTCTTAATTGGATCTAATAATTCCGATTTAATTTAAACAAATTCCAATCCTTTCGTAAAAAAAAAAAAAAAAAAAAAAAAAAACTATTTTAATCATTCATTGGCAAAGGATCGTATATAATGTCGAACACTTGGTATTTCGCCGCCGGAATTTGTCTCGGATTTCTTATTATGGAAATATTCGAATTTCTTCAATACATCTTCCTAACTAGATTGTAAAAATCAATCAAAACAATTGTTCTATTATAAATTAGAATATTTTTTTATATAAAAACGTCATGATACATTGCTAACTTGCTGTGAAGGTAAAAAAATGCTGTGATCTTCGACTCTAACTTAATTGATCTAACCTTAAATTTAAATGTACTCGACCAAAACATCTTGCATATTGACCATTTATTCATTTTTTCATTCTTCCTCTCACACTTTTCTTCATTCTTTTTTTTTTTTGTTTTTCATTTACTATATACAGACCATTAAAGCTATTTTAAAATTTTTATTTTTAAAAAATTAAATCGATCCTAAAGTGAAATTTCAAGTGTTCAGTTAAACGTTCATTTGTTGAAATGTATTCATTAAATCCTTTTCCAAAAATAAATAAAACCGACGCTGTTGAAATATACTAATAAGTATTTCTCTAACAATTGTTGTCATAATAGCTATCGTTTCAATGGTATTTGATTATTAATCATTTAAGGGTTGTGTTTTACTATTGTTTTACTAATACTAACGATTTTCACAGACACAAATGCTGGTATGACTGTAGCTGTTCATGAAAACACTTCAAACAAATCACAATTATTTTATTTTGCATGTATTTAAAAATCTTTATGGTATTTAAATATATTTAAACAACAGCTCAGCTTTTCTTGAGAATAAGTTATATAAGTGTCCTTAATAACGATAGCACAAATATAACTTGTGCGTACTCTTTATTGTGGATATTATTATTTGAACTAGACATACAAATTCAATTGCAATTTGATAAAGAAAAATAATTTTAAACAAAATAATCACGAGTATTATAGCATCAAAAGAAATTTCCAATTGTAAGGATTAGTTCGTTTTCACTCTTTCTCAGTATTGCTCAATTCAAATAAGGTTATATTTACAATGGTTTCATTTCAGCTCGATGGGCACATAAGATAATTCCTTAAAATTAAAGTTTCAAAACTACAAGCCAAGTATAATAAGAGATTTGTTTATGCAAAGAAAGTATTGATTTGTCTCTTGTAGAATAGTTTAAAATGGTGTTTCTGGATTTTAATATATATATAGTATATTTATTCAAATCGAAATTTTTTGTTTCAGTAATCTCAAAATTGTTAAAAATCACTCATTTTATAAAAGTCCAGAGCTTTAGACTGAAGACATTGTTTCACTTCAAAAGATCGATATATTTTGTTATAAGCTATTTTAAAAAAAATTTTTTTTTATATTTTATGTCAAGTGCTTCCCAAGTTTTGACACAATGTTGGTTGTATATTTGAAGAGCCAGTGACCATTGAGGTTAATCAATTCCGGGACAACCTGAGCGCACAATTAGGGATGTTTGAATTACTGATGAAAAGTGAAAAATGGACGTAATTCAATTCAGAAATTTTGTTACCTTCACACAATTAAATTGATGAATTGCTTTTATAAGTAAAATTGTCCACATCTTTCTTTTTGGTCCAATTGACACAATTCAAGAAAATATTACGGATAAATCTATGTATTGAATTGAATGAACTTCATTCCAGGTAAGATTCCGAGGATGATCTTTACCTTTATTCCTAATTTTAGAAATAATGAGAATTTTTTAATCAAAAGTTGGAACTTTTTGTAGCTTTGAACTAGGAACAAATTACTAAATCTTTTCTAGCGGATGCAATTTTTCGAATACAAATAATATGGAAAAATTCATATAAACATATTATGCTTGAAGAAACTTTTTTATATCAGAGATGACTTAGAATCCTTAAATGTAGTCACACAAAGAAATTTGTTAACTTCAAATTGAAGTATCTCATCATTAATGGAATCACTTCAGTCGTTACGCACTATTATAATCAATGTAAACATCTACGCCACGCTTTCGGAATGGTTCTTTCCATGCAGAATATATGTTCCCAAGCATTGATAGAACATTTTTCTTTTAAATCTTAAGTTTAGTGTCTTTTATTCGGAGAAAGAGGCCTCACTGGTTAGAATGAATTTCAAAGTAATTAATTATTAGCTCGGAACCGTTTCTAGCAATTTTGAATAGAATCGGAAATCTTTGGTTTTGTCATTTACCTATAAAAATATAAAGCAAATCTTTATTTAATGTTACCTTTCCATAATTGATCAATCGTGGTAAATTTAAAGTATTGGTATTGTTCAATTCTGAATCAAGAGCCTAATCAATACTATAACTCGTTGTTGTTGTTAAATAGGTTTGTCAAGTTGATTTAAAATCTAATTGTAACTTTGCCCTTTCACCAATTTTAATAGACATTGTAAAGTTTTGATACTTTTATAATACTTATAATACTGTTGAATAAGATTACAATTTCAACAATTTATCCTTTTTGATAAACTTTTGTTTCTGCTTCCTCAAAAAAATTACAAATCTAACCTTTTCTCATAATTATATACAGTGAAATTGATTTATATACCATTTTCGTCCTTTGCTTTACAAAAAAACTATTCACTGCTTGGCTAATATAAGATTACTTGTCTCATTTAGATATGATTGGTGGCCAAACCAAAGCAATTTATTACTTTGGAATAACAAAATATAGGAAAATAGTTCCTTGTTATTGTGTAGGACAACTACTATTCACGGGATATATTACATGTGCGTGATCATTATATAACTCATGTATCAACCTATTATCCGTAAATAACGAATATAAAATCTTTTTTAATAAAAGCAACAATATTGAAACTTATATCTAATCCTGCTCTATATCTCAAAGGAAAATTCGAGTTACTATATATCTATATAAAAGGACAACCACAAGTTTCAAATATAATTATTCATAGTACAGTTAAAAATGTACAATTAGTAGTGAAGTAAGTGATAAGAAATTCCACATACCAGTTATAAAGTCCTTTTTTGTGGATTCGTGCTTGCGAACATAACTTTTCAATCGATTGATTTTTAGGCACTTATTGTAATAACTTGGAATAGAATGTTGCAACTTGGTTTGTATTTTGGGCAAAAAAAGCCAGCACTTTGATATTCTTTATTTTTTATTTGAAATTAAAAATATACAGCGCTTTTATATTCTCAGTCACGATACATTAAAAAGTAAATTAATATAAACAGGAAAAAATATTTGATATTAAAGTTCATATACATTCATTCTAAATTTTCAAAATATTAGTTTCCATTGTTAACGGACATGATTCCAGTCCAACATACTTGCTACCACGATAAATCCGAATATTCATTAAAAATTAATAATGAAGTTGGTGTCGTTAAAATTTCATAAAATATACCTATGTCCCCTCGAAAGTAAAATGATTCAGTGAAAGTTATTCTTCATATATAAATTCATATTTGATATTATTGATGATACTGGGTATCCAATATAAAATTATTAATGTACCTTATCCATTATAGAACAATCTAAATCGCAACAGCTAAAATCGCTTGTTTCCAATTCAAACCAACAGTGTCAAAATTAAAAATTTTTTATATCAAAATTATTTTAGAACTCATATTTTATGATGTAAAAGCTTTCGAAATTCTAATTTTTATCGTAAGAAATTTACTATTGCGTTTAATTAAAAAAATAATTTACATTTTTTTTTCTTTGATATCGGAGAAATTATATTTTAGTTGATATGTTGATATGAAAGCAATTCTTGATCCATTTTATTATAATTATTGGATTAATTTTATCTACGAATAATTAAGATTCAATGGACCTTACATTACATTTACAACGCTTCAATAAATTTAAATTTTAGCTAACTCACAGTTGACATTAAGAAAATACGTTTAGCAAAATAAAAGAGAGAAAAAAAAAGTATTTTTTTAGCGAGTCACCCAAAAAGGAAATATAATTTCTATAATGTAATTAGACATGTTGTCATTCTTGAAATTATGATTAGAATACGATTCGAATGTTGAATTAAAGTCGAAATTCCATACATTAAAGCTACTTTATTTTTTTTTATTATTCAAGTTATGTAATATAAAATCCTAAGTTAATTTAAAATTTTCAATTTTGGACTAATGATAATTTAAATATTCCTAAAGCTATTGTTTGAATTTAAGAAACAAAAAAATCATTTTTTCTTTTTCAAACTGTTCACCAGTCTA